ACGAACCGCATCGTGTTCTTCTTGTCCTTTTCGGTTCATTGTGCTGCCAGTGGTGTTTCAACGCCGTTGAACAAGTTATGGCAGTATTGTTCATCATCATTAACAGCGCAATTATTGCCTTTAAAAAACGTACTTAGGCATTGAACTAACATGTTCTCCTGATTAACTCAAACATTGGTGACGTGTTTAGCGTAATTAGTAGGTTGTTGATGCTACTAACTCATTGCCAAATAAAATTCGTTTGGTAGGCCTCCGACCTCCTTATGAAAATTGTTTAATGCATAATTAAGTCACGGCCCTAACATATAAGCACCCGTCATGAGAGCCTAAACAGGACCATTAGATATTTTTCTACTGGACAATGACAAAACAATAAATAGGGAAAAGTACTATTCATTAGAAATCAAACACTTCCCACTAAAAAATGAAATTATGTACCGGCGAAAGCGCACAGCGGAGGTCTTAGATATCCATCTCCCGACCCGAATCAGAAAAGATTTCCCTAAAAGATGGGCAAGCTGTGTTGTCATTAATGCCGAACAAGCAGCTATGATGAACGCAGATGAGTACGGCCTCCGTGCTGAACCTCTTCAGGAGCCAGAGTTGCGGGATATTTTGTGGGCTTTTGAATGTTACTTCGTTTATTCTCACACTCACGATTTGCGAGTTGATGGGACATTTGTCGTCACGTGCGAGATTTGGCAATGTACACGTGAAGTCGAGGAGCCATTGTCCTAGCTTACACGATGGTATTCGAATACCACAATACTACGGTTACAAATGCAAATACTTTAATCTTAACCATCTAGCACCTATGATCGACCACCTAACCAACCAATACGTTTGCACAATCTATGTCTAACCTGCTGGCAGGCCGTCATCCCAGCTTTACGCCCGTCAACTTCGCTAGCCAGGCTATTGCGCCGTCTGGTTGTCGGTGATCCAACGCCGCTGCTCACCCGTATTGGCACACCTACACGTCTAGCCGTCCTAATCTCGAAACGTGAAGATATGCTCGGTTTACCACGCTGTGAGGGCTGCAAGGAGGTTCTATACAGCGTAGATATCCAGTTGAGTTCCTCTTAACGGATGCCTTACCGATCAAAACGGGGGCCGCCATCAGGTGGTTTCGATTTATTTGTAGGCTGTATAACGGTGGGGATTGCTTAGGTGAGTCTACCCGTTCGTGGAACTTAAGGTGAGTCTATATTGAGCCAAAACCTTATGGGGTTCTCTAATCCCTCCGTAAGCTCTCCGCTTCACGTCCTAATCATCCTACCATCTCTTAGTCTGTAGCAAGTTCACTCTTCATTAGAGGCTATCGAAAATCTTATTAGGGAACGATTAGAATCTTGAGAGAGTAGATTATGACACTGCTAATGGTGTTTTTGATACCCCTCCCGGGCTTTCCCCAGTCTAGATATGTGTGTAAGGCCGGTGGAGGGACGGGAGAGCCACTTATAGGGCGGGCTTTACCCAAAGTTTTTTGGTGTTTTTAAGCCTCCAACGCAAAGGAGGGCTAAAGCCTTTAATTTTTATTAAATTGCTTTAGACTCAACAAGGAGAGGGTGATGATTAACGAATAGGTGCAGCATTCAAGTCGGCCCCATATCTGGTCCCGAAATATTTGGCCCATAGTCATGTGCGAGTCTTTAACTTTGTTCATGTGAGTATCAATAATAATTAGGGGTTTATGAGAGTGAATTATTACTGAAGATAGAGTTTCTATATTCGATCTCCCTTTTCATCTGAGAGAGGGCGTGGATTGAGGATCTCGCCAGGCGTTCATGCTTAATTCGCCAAGGACCGTAAGAAATAACAGTACGTTTTGGACACTCAATTTTCTTGCAACGCATGTTACTCCGACCCCGTTTCAAAGCTGAATTTACTGCTGCCAATCTAGATGGGTCCGGAAGGCGAAAAAAGCAAAGCCAAATCTGCCTACTTCTCCTTGTGTATAATGTAGGCTCCATTGGCCTCACGTTGCTTTGCAAATGCCTACTAATGCGTTGAGGTGGGGGCGTTGGATGGGCATCACAAGGATTAGCTGATTGACTTAGTGTTTAACTTCATAAGACTCTTACAAAAAAAACAGGTATGACAAAGCGAGAAACTTCTGTTTGCGCGAGACTGAGCGCGACGACTGTACCGACGACTGTGCGCGATGACTGTGCGAGACTGTGGCCGACGACTGTGTCGACGACTGTGCCGACGAGTGTGCCGACGACTGTGTCGACGACTGTGGCCGCTACGACTGGTGTCGACGACTGTGCCGACGGACTGCTGTCGACTGACTGTACGACGACTGTGCCGGAGGGCGCGTGTCACTGACTGTACCGACGACTGTGCCGATGGCGCGTGCCAACGACTGTGTCATGACTGTAGCCGACGGACTGTGGCCGACGGCCGTGTGTCAGCTGGGATGTACCGACGACTGTGCGACGGTCGTGGCCGTGAACGACGGTGTCGACGCACGCGTGTCGACGACTGTACGACGATCGTGTCGACGACCGTGGTCGACGACTGTACGACGAACTGTGCCGAGCTATCGAATTGACGATGACTGCAACAAGTAGCCGACAATTGTTCTCCTGCAAATCACAAATAGATCTTCCGCCAAATCAAACTGGAAGTGATTTCATCGGGTCAGTCATAGGAAGCACACCGCTCAACGTGGACCGTTGGCTCTACTCATATATAATCCTACCAATAATACTGGCTGTACTCTACTAATGATCTAGTTTCACTGTGTAGTGGGGGGGCGAACATATCTTCATACACAGTAACAGTGCTCGTCAGCAATTTTAAAACAAGACAGAGAGCGAGAGTAGAAGTGCCATAGCTTTTATTTGGGTCGTGATATATTGCAATATAAAATATGTATAACAAATCTCGGTAATAAATGTATAATGTATATGTATAAATATATAAATATTTCCAGCGCACGGTGGCAAGAAGAATTGCGAAATACGTGTAGCTTGGGACAAATGTAAGATGTCCCGTAGACGAAGCGCCCGTATGAAAGCCGTGCCAGTTCTTGCCGCTTCTACGAATGCTCTTACGTCGAATCGGTGAACGGAAAGGTGACGAATCTGAGCTTAATCTGTTCGGTTACGTAGTATGATAGATTCCTATAATAGTGTAAAGTCTTCTACATAGCCGCTGTGTCTTCCATGCGTACTAACCGTCTGAGACAAATATTATAATATAATGAATTGAATATTTCATATCGCAGGCCCTCCTGAGCAGAGTCCATATATGATAATTAATGAACAAAATTTATTAAATAATTAATGTTGAACGTATATGTTAGCGAGCGCACTAATCCACGCAGTCCTTTGTATCATTTTTAGCATCGATGCGAATCGGATGGTTAAAAGGGCGCCGTGGACCAGCCGCTGCCATCCCAAAACCAAAAAGCGCCACAGAGATCGCCAACCATCGGCCATCCTATTTCGCTCATATACAGCGCTAAGTCAGAGCAACACGTGGACACCGACTCCAGAAAATGCAAATCTAGATTATTCAAATGTAAGAATAAAAGTATAAATAATAAATGTACATTGGTATTCAAGAATGCGGTAAAACGTTATGCTGAACGTTATACGCCCTGTAGCTACTGCGGTGATACTTGTTTGTGCCTACAATATAAATAGATGTTTATTATGTTAGGCCTGCACAAAATGTGTCTGTTAGATTACTGTCGATGCAAACTGCTTGCATTTCATGAGTCGCCGCGGCACATTTGCAGTTTATAGAAATACGACGACGCTCTCTCCGATACCGAGCAATCTAAGCGAAATTCTTTGATCCTTCTACGTCATCAATTTGATATCATGCAAAACATGGGCAGAAAGATTCCTGATTTGTAGAACTGTGCAGAGAAGATCAGATCTTTCTTTTCCAGTCTGCGTGTCTTAGAGCTGCTCGTACTGAGACGCTCGGCCTTACAGGCTAAGACTAAGTCCAATATGTGACAGGTTATCATTATGAAGACTATTGAAAAACGTTCACTATCCAGCCATCTCGATGTAAGCATGAGGAGACGGAAATTTTAGGTTTTCCATACCAGGAAAAGTGTCTGGCATCCAGAGAATGCGATGTGCACGCGCGAATTTGGACGAATTTATTTTGCGATGGATACGCATCGTTGAAACTCGCGATACCCCTGTAACGAAAAAACACATTTATTAAAGAACTTGTGTAGTGCAGGAAATATTTACTAAAACACGAGACGCATCGTTTTCATAGAAGAATTCCGGCGACCGTAAGCTGGTGTTCTGGCAATGGCGTCGTATTGAGCCTGACCGCAAGTGCGAGCGTCGTTCGGAGAAGTGGATCAGGCATCACATGGATTCTCCTGCCTCGCTGCACCAGCCTATGACTTGACATTTTCTGCGTCGCCTGCAATGTCGCGCTACCTAACACAAGGTAAGCAACGCATCCCACTGCTTCGAGCGTTTTAAGCTGATCCTCTTAGAAATCCCTGTTCGCGAGAAGCACTGATCCATCGTATGTTTTACAGCGAGACACAGTTTGCGTTTCAACCTTGATGACATTTTGGGCAAAATGGCCGCGCAATATAGTGTGGAAATTCGACCGCGCTATACCGTCTACACTACAGTTCATAGGGAGCATACTGAAGTAGCTTTATTGTACCTATAAATATTGTAGATGAATCTCAACGGTACCGATCTAGCAAAGCCCGATAGCTTAATCGACTTTAGCATCTATAGTTGTGTGTAATGCGTTGCGTGCGTGCGTGCGTGCGTGCGTGCTGTATGTGTAATGTGCGCGGAGTGTGTTGCGCGACGTGTGGTTGTGTATTGTGCATTGGCGTGCGTGTTGTGCGTGGTGCGTGTGCGTGTGTATATGCGTGCGTGCTGCCGTTGCGTGTGTTACGTGTGTGCGTGGTGTGTGTGATGAGTATAAAAATGTTGTGTGTTGTGTGTGTGTGTCGTGTGTTTGTGAGTGTGGTGTGATGTGTGGTGCGAGCCGTGTGTATTATGGGCGTCCGTGCGTGCTGCAAGCGTGTGTGCGTGTTGCTGTGTATGTCGTCGTGTGGGCGTGCGTGCCGTGTCGTGCGCTGCGTGCGTGCGCTGCGGTGGCGTGCGTCGGTTCGTGTCTGCTGCGTGCGTGTATGTATGAGTAAATATATGTGTGTGTGTGTGTGTGTGTGTGTGTGGTGTGTGTGCGTGTGCGTGTGCGTGTGCGTTGTGCGTGCGCCGTGCGCATGGTGTGCGTGTGTGCGTGTGTACAGTATGCAGCATTCGCTAACCTATATGTTTTGATTGCTTTTTGTCCAGGCGCGCGTAATTTATTTCAGTGTGTAGGCTGTGTCTTGTTTTTATGAATGAATGGTTTCCTCCATCTCCATTCATGGCTTATCTCGGCAAACACTTCTAATCACCGTCCCCACGTTATATGGCCCCTTAACACCTGTCTATGGTGCTTGCAGAAAGACATGGCCTGAAACAGTCTGATAAGATGGAACAGCTTCAAATGAAAATCGTCAACTCGTTGCGTGATCACTGTACGTACAACGCGGAAGCACAAAAGAAACCGCACTACTTCTCCCGAGTGTTGTCGAAGATTCCCGAATTGAGGTCGCTTAGTGTGGCAGGACTACAACGTATCTTCTATCACAAGTTGGCAGAGCTCGTACCCTTGCCAAAGCTCTTCGAAAATATGTTCGAGACAACTCTACCTTTTTAACTCCACCCGTTTGCATATTGTGTTTATCCCGTCGCCGGTCGTAACGTAGCTTTTTATCTAAGTGTAATTAAATATTATATCACTGTGTACGAGGCACGTGCGTGGGATGTTCGTGATTTCTGTCACCCGGTGGTTGGAATTTTATACAAATGCAGAATACATGTGAATGCAGGCTAGGTTAATAGGCATAAGTATATAGAGTATAGGTATACGTGTGTTCCAGCGTGACCATTTCGGTATGGCTTGCTGGCAGCCTTTCTGCTGGTATTATGGCTTTAAATTTTATACTGTTCAGAGTTCGCATGGTTTGAGAGTGATTGTTCCTATATGTGTTAAACATTGTTGTAGAATGTACGTTACGCCTTTCACATAAAGATAGCATCTGGCTGGTCATCTCATGAAAGGTCGTCCGTAAAGGTTCATATTGCGTGGTGTGGACTAAGCCTATTCTAGAAGTGCTAGGTATTGAATGATAATTCCATATAAGCATTAGCTACTTGCCAACTATGGCCTTTGGATTCACTGTAAACAGCTACTGTCGACATGCTACCTATGGGTCATGAAATATCAAACATGAAAAAACGCCGGTAGGATGTATGTATACCGAATGCTGTCAGGCACAGGACACGTATCGACGGAAATAAGGTCTTGATAGGTAAATAGTACTCGGTTAGACAGGCTCGATAACTGATATACACGAAAATCTACTACACATGCGACATTTGCGTATCAATAGATAGGGATACGTAGAGTTCGCAATGCCCGAGCAAAGCAGAAGCTATTATAGTGCTTAGGCCATTGCCTGGCCTTGCACAGCAGGTACTTTCTAGATAATTTTGTTTAGATGGCATATGCATAACAATCGTTTCAGGCGTCCTCAAGCGCCCAGTGCCGCAATTGCGTACAGTTTACTCTTTTCTCGTTAGCATTTGGAGTTCTACTACTTGCACTGTACGAATAACAACAGTTTAACTCGTCGTATATAGCATCCCGATACTGGTCAATCGTATATAATTCTGGAAAAATCGAAGATCAAAACATTGACATAATTTATTACATCTTCATGGTGCTCTCCCCCGCAAAAAGTTTTGTTTGTTGGCTAATTTCTTAAAACAGGAATTGAATTCTTGAACTTTTTGGGACGCTAGGCGAACACGGGGCATCGATGATGTTTGCACCTGAAACGCACCTTTGCAACGATTTTTTGTGTCGAAAGGACGATTGACCAGTAATCATGGCGACAGCCACGCACACGCACGCACGCACATACGCACGCACGCACGTACGCACGCCCGCACACACACACACACACACACACACACACACACACACACACACACAAACACATTCCACGAACATTTTTGTTCGTAGTGAAATGCTGAGATAACTAGGCTCGCACGAGAACTCCAATAGAGTGAAAAGGTTGCCCTTTCGTTTAACAACTCTCGCAATGCATGTGGTACCCATGCACGAGTATGTGAACGTAAAATTGAACCTATGTGTGTGTGCATGTATAAAACATTCGAGAATGAGGTGTCTGTGCGAGCTGAGCTTGTTGACGTTGGGTGGATGCTTCATCCTCTACTTATATTTAGTTCGTACAATACTGTAAACGAGTCCGTGTCACCAACACCCTTAAAACGTAATGTAAACGTTTCCAACTACCTGTTTTCACTGTGAACACTAGGTGTGTGTCTGTTGATCGTTTTGCTATATGTGACTGTTGTGTTAAGTTTAAAGAAATATATTGACAATTCTAGCATATGTTGCACGAAGGCATAATGGCAAGCTATCTGTACGTTATGATGTCTATGCCATCTACTACTGCCATCAGCTTTTTCAGTTTCTAGATCTCGTTCCTAATTTGTTCAAGATATGAAAAATTAGGGTGCATATTTTCTCGTTTTAAGCTTAGAATCTTTTGAAACGTTTGTAGTAAATCAGAGTTAATTACGGCAGATAAAACGTTATTAAACGTTTCATTTCATTAGTTTAAACATTTTAATGTTGGTTGTTAAATTAATATTATGATTAGTGAAATAGTAATATTTGCTTATTAAAATAATAGAAGGTACATAATTAATAGAATTGAGTAGCTATGCCGGCTACTCTATCGCCTACCGTCTATAATGGGCGAGGCCTGCGTAAAAGGGGGTTGTATCAAATCCAGCAGAAACATTTGCTCGATAATTTCTGGCAGACGATTTTTGATATGGCGTATTTTTGTACCGCAGCATGGCCGGTGTGAATGCTTGTTATAATAAAAGGAATGTTGTTACGCAATTATTGTACCACCTTTTACGAGATAGGGCGCTGTCACTACACGGGAACATGTCGCCTCGTGATTTACCCTAGCTGTTTTCTTTCCCTTTACACAGTAACGTAAACGCCCTGAGCATGACAGACGCTATGACGCCCAGATAGGCCTACACAATATGCATTGCATGCTATTTTCGGCAACGCTGCCATAAACTTCATGCAGTTACAAGCAGTATATATATATACATATATATATATATATATATGTATATGACCCAGCCGACACCATACTAAAACCACGCATACATGGACGAAACAAATACGTTTATTTTGCGTATAATAGCTGCCTACAAAATGACCTCCAGTATAACAACGCATGCAGGCTCTACCCACGTGCCGTTTCTCAGCCCACCTGCTGTTCCGTAACGCACAAATCAGGATTGTGTTATTAACAGTACTCTGTCTCTCTGTATATGAACTGACAGCCTCAATGACATAATTTCAATATAGTGATTGCTCTCCATCGCAGTATAAAGTTCCATAACAATGTATGTGACGTATTTGAATGTGTATGTGCATGATCACTAATTACTCGTCATAATCAATACCAATTTTCTCTCGTGCTATGAAGATGTTACCTGGCGATTGAATGTTTGGCTGTCTGTGTGCCTGTTCTACCTGTTTGTGCCTGAAGTCGTCGATAACACTAGACTAAAATTGCGATACGTAGGTAAATTAATTTTTGTGAGGGCCGGGACCATTAGTAACAGATGTTTAATTGTCGAAGTCAGAAGCAGATATTTTTTTCAACCGACGGTTAGCAGGGGACCAAAGTAGGCATACAGCGTTGATAATTTTGTATGAGGGTAAATAAACGGTTCACAGACATCTGACTATGGTCAATCAACGTTACCCACGTCGTATTATAGGTTTGACCGTAAGTATACATATCTCATGCTATACAGGTAGATGTAATCAATGACTAAATAATAACGGTTAAATCAATGCGCTGTGTGACATTTTACAGCGACACACGACGCACTTGAATTAGCCAAACTATTTAATAATACAAATCCTCTACTGAAATAATATCAGGAGTGAATAATAATAGACCATAATAGACCATAACAATCTAGTATTATACACTCCTGATACTATTATATATATATAAATATATATATATAGTGCTTTTCACTTATTGATTTATACCACGGGATTATAGTTGCTTATTCGATTCAATAGTATATTCGTTCTCGTTCGTTTGTTCATTCATTTGTTCGTAAGTTCGTTTTTTCGGCCATACGTTCGTTCGTGCGTTCGCTCATTCGTACGCGCGTTCGTAGTTTTGCTGGTGTTTCGGTTGCTCCTTTAATCCTTCGCTTGTTATTTCGTTCGTTGGTTTGTTCGTGCAATCATTCATGCATTTATTCTATTATTCATTCGTTAGGCGCATCCATAAATCCACCGGCCAGTGTCTAATTAACTAGTTGTTGAATTTGTCATTCACGTATTGAATCAGCCAGTAATACAGCCACACAGTCACTTCGCAAAACAATCTTTCCTGCCATTATACTTTGCATTAAAAACTCTATTACTAAGAACGCGGCACTCGCGAAGAATCGCGCAAAGGCTATGCGAATTTAACTCAATGGGCATACGCTATTCGTTTATCTTAGTCGTGTTACGCCATTAGTCTGTTGCTGCTCTGCCTAGAGGACCGATACCCAATCTTAACCTTGGTTTATAACATTACTCTCCCTCATCTGTGACCTGCATATGTATTTGGCTGAAACTAAGAGTGCACAAGCGTCTGGAAGAATGGCAGTTATGTTCTTTGGTACTGTCCAAGCCTGGAAAGCTTGGATAACGGATATGTTCGTTGTTAAATTTTTCTGTCTCGACAATCTAAAAGCCCAGACACACCTAAGATGTACGCGTATCATGTCAGCTGCCAATCCTTGTCTCAGCTCTCCTGCAAAGAATAGCTCAATACAACCTGCCTAGAAACTTACAGACTTACAAGAATTTGTTAGGTGTTCAACATGGTTTCGCCAAGTTGGCCGTTCACGTTTAGAAGGGTGATCGGTCAATATAGCCGGCTGTAAATTGTAAACATACTGCGTGCTGGAAATATTATGTTAGCGAACCAGAAGTCGAAGCTATGTAACAAAATCATCATGCTATGTTGGCGTGCGCATTAGAAAATCTCTATAGCACTGCCACAGCAGATTACTTACATGACCATGTCCATTTGATGTGATATACTGGTATTTTAAACGCTACGCAATTTACTGTCAGATTATTTATAGTGTGGTACATAATTATTGTCCATGTGAGAGGAGTACGTGCGGCATTTTAAATCGTGTATGGCTATAAAGTATACGGTGTATATAATAAGTATTGTTCTCACGTGTACGTGGAGAAAATTTCGTTATCAGTGTTACGTTGTTTTGACGTGAACAGTTGAAGTTAGGATATTTGATTTTCAGAGTTTATGTTTATGGACGGGAGAGCGCTACATAACGCGTTAACGGTTACGCGGGCGGCCTACTAGATTTAAGGTTACAGTGTTAGTCACGCTTTGTGGAAATTAGTATTGTAATTATTTTAAAGTTCCATACACGATTCGACAAGCATAATGACGATAAGTCGTAAGGAAAGCATTCGGAGACAGGCAAACCTAGTATCACGATCGCTTTCGATACTACGGCTTAACGTCACGCATTCTCGCATGCCGTTGCTATATTCATTCCTTGCATCTACATACGTCGGAAGAGTGCAGCAATTGCGCGCGATGTATGGTTATGTAGCGTTGTATGTCTTCGAAATTCAAGTCCGCACAATGTTGTCGCACTATCATCTTCGTACATGTTTACTTTGGTTTCATTGCGTGTAGTACAAGTCCAAAAAGCTGAATGATGTAAAAATTGCTGATGATTATTATGGTGTTATGTGAGGCTATTTTTGTATTAGTTTTCAATGAAACTATATATATATATACATATATATATATATATATATATATATATATATATATATATATAAATAACGTTCACAGGTTATATGTCGTTCGTTGTTGCTTATTTTTGGCGAGTACTCTTTACACAACGCACGATTGAATTATTTGCTCCGCCAAAACATACGACCGCCTAAATTTGTTACAAAACACACTTTACTTTACCTAACAACTAAAATATTAACCGAGTGTATACATACATGCGCACGCACGCACGCACGCACGCACGCACGCACGCACACATGCACGCACACACACATACATATATAAATAACTAGACCTAGGTGGCGCCGGACGAGTGCTATCGGCAGCCAATCGACCATGCTGTAGAAAGAGTGATGCGCGTTGCCTTATGTTGCGGGGTGGACGTACGAAGCCTAGCAGTGGGATCTAAGCCATTGAAGCTAGAAGCCAGGTCTGAACATTTCCGTACGGGCTCGATTCCTACTGGATTATGCATATAGACATTCAAGGGCTGGATACCACCTCACTGCGTTTATGTGTTGTGGTGGCTGCAACCAACGTCAAACGCCAATTCAAAATGGTTATCTTCAAAATTCCACTAGGCATGGTGACATCTCTTATTATATTTTGCGATCTGTTTCTTTCACGTGCCAACTTAAACACATTCCATAAACCCGCATCCCAGGCCCGGAAGAATACGCTGCTTCAGAGGAAGACACGCCACACAAAAACGGTTAAGATAAATATGCGTATTCTCATCTAAAGCATATCATATCTATTCCTACATAATCGCATACATTTATAATAGCCCAAGTCAAAGAATCAATGTAACCGTTTCAATAGCACTACCTTAGTACTAACAGCTACTGCTGACTGCTAATTCAAAACAATCTGCCACTGTGACATCGAGCGCGCATCGTAACTGTTATTATATACAGCTCATTTGTGTCCATCGTTCACTGCGACAGCCGTGAGATTAAACTCCGACCAGGCTCGCAACATGAGGAATTGGGAATCTCTCGTCGCTCGGATGACCAGGTAAAATATTCTGCAGAAGGAGGAAGAAGAAGAAGAAGAAGAAGAAAGACGAAGACGAAAGACGAAGACGAAGAGACGAAGACGAAGACGAAGACGAAGACGAAGACGAAGACGAAGACGAAGACGAGACGAAGACGAAGACGCAAGACGAGACGAAGACGAAGACGAAGACGAAGACGAAGACGAAGACGAAGAAGAAGAAGAAGAAGAAGAATCACGTCCTATTTTATAACATGTCATATAAACTTCCATCTTGTCTTTTCTTAAAAATGTATGATATTTTTCATTTATATCTTAAATAATTATGAAATAAATGATAATTATCTTATAATACTAATAAATACGTATCTATGTTTACATTGACACAGCATTGTGCGATTATGAATTGAATTGAATTTACTCAGTTTGCTTTCTAAGTTTGTAAATTATTTCCTAATATACATTGTACAACTATAACTGTAATAAAGTTATTTGTTGTGCTATAGCCACTAATACTAAGAATAGATTGTAACAATATTATTTAACATAGTTAGTGATTATATGTCGATAGTTTATTAACTTAAATTTACGAGTTATGATCATATAAAAATACTCCAAAGTTCATGTAGTGCAGTTTTCCTCAAATTCGCCCATGTGCCATCATCAGACTGCTTATGCGGACCAGAAATTTATGTTTATCTTTACCCCTCGTCTCCCACGGCTCCAGGCATCGCGGGTAATTATAGGCTTCGGTGGTTGTTACATAGTGCCCTCCCCGTTTCTACGGCACCTCTCAAACTGGCTTGACCTAGCTTTTAATTATATGCTGTGTAAACGGGTCCCTATTAATAAGACGTTTTATTACTGAGGCGGCTTATTAATAAGGTAGCTTATAAGATGACATGTAAACGGGATATACGTTATGAATATATATCTTGCATGCCTAATATGTTTTATTTGATAATATTTTGATGCATGCAGTAGCTGTAAGGAAAGCTGACACTATAATGACATCAAGCGGTACTTCAGATACGGTGCTGAGGACTGCACTAAGCTAAAATAAATGTCCAAACGCTGCACTCTGTGGCTAAGAGGAATTTACCTCTCTAACGGTCGTCTTAACGGTCTAAAATCTTTCGAACAGAGATAGCTATGATTTATGCTGATTGTGGCCGTGGGTAATCAGATATGCCTACTATAGCATTTTGCAAACCGAGGCGCTACTAGGATACGTATTATAAATAAATGATACAAAATAATCAGGACAGTAGTTTACACATTTTTTCATAATAGGTTGCTAAAAATAAAGATTTGAAGCATTGTTCACCTAACTTATAGTGACATTGGTTGCCGACTATGCGCTGCTGCGTTACCTACTACGTGATTTGCAAAGGCATTCAATCTCGCGTCGCATTGATAAACACGTACTCAGACATGCAGTACATGCACTAACATATGGATGAATAATACGTAATAGTTAACTGGATAAAACCGTGCTAACCCGAGTAAGTGGATATATTATTACGACGTTATGACTGAGATGAGAAAATTATAGTAATAAAATTACTTTGTATATGAAAAATTTCTTATTTGTGAGCAATAAGAACAAGTTCATGGTAGGTTTAGCAACCGCTTTTTCATTGGTAAGTATATACTTGCAGAATTAGGCGGTATTGCCTGCATTTATTTATTTATTACATATTTATTAAACCTATACATATTTAGACTAATGTAGAAATATCCACGTTTATTACGGTAATGTTATGAGGGATCATGTCACTAATAACTATTAGTGCATTACTGCAAATATTAACTAAAAAATCTGAAGCCTTCAATGACATGAATCCTCGACCCAAAGCTGCGATCAATTTGCTACGAAAATGAAATAAATGCAAAAAGCGGAGTATAGTCCACGGAAACAAAGTAAATTCATTACCCCTGACCGCATTTTAAAACGTTTTTTTACTGACGTTTCATTTACTGACTTCAGTGGGCTTCTATTTCTGAACTTGTGCCTAAGTAGAGCATCGATTCACGACTGCACATCTGGCTGGTGGCTGCGAATAGCACCAAATGATACGGAACTATCAGAAGGGAAACGGGGTCCCATCAACACCAAAACCCTCACCGTTAATGTATGGTGTAAAAACGGCAGCGCGTAAAAATGCTTTAGTTATTAAACCTATGAGGAAACTTGCTATCGAGTTTAGAAATACATTCTAAAATAAATAACAATTAACGTGCACAGAAAAACTACCCATTCTCGCAAAATGTCCCCTTCATCTCTGTTCAGCACGCAGCTAAGCTGTGCGACGTTGGTGCGAAGATAAAAAAACGAAGCAAATGTCACAGAGCTTGTCATTGGTTCTTAAACAAAAGGGGTCAGAGTTGAACAAGACGGTGTACCTTTATGGGAAAGTAAAGGGCGACACATTGATCTTTTAACAAACTCCTATCAAGCACGGGTGAGGAAGCAGAAAACGCAGGGAGCGCGTGCGACGACCAATAAAACACGCATGCAGGCACGCACGCACGCACGCACGCACGCACGCACGCACGCACTCATACAGGCACGCGCCTACGCACGCACAACACACACACACACACACACACACGCACACACACGCACACACACACACACACACACACACACACACGCGCGCGCGCGCGTGTATGTATTTATGCCACACAATGTGTGTGGTGAATTGCTAATTCAGTGCTCCGCGCTTTCGCTATCGGGGCAGCTAGGGAACCATGAAATGTCTCGATTAAGCGGTTAACACATTTCCAGTCACACATGCTGACTGTACCCTACTAAATCGTCTGTAACACGCACGCACTGTACAATTTACACAGCGTGTAATGCACATTGGTTTACCTCTAAAAGAATTGTGACCTCATGTTCAGAATCCCCTAAAAACCGAGAATTGTCAGGTTTCTTTTATGTTTAGGCGTATTTTGCAACGTTAGTTTAAGAAAGGAGGAATTAAGTTTGTTCTGCGTAAAATATTCTGAAAATATCCTACTACAGCCCTGCTCCCTTTATCGGATGAAAAGGATGTGCGTAAGAATGTTTTTTTTTCAGACATGCATCGTTGATGCGATGCGTCCGTTTATCCGGTTATTACAGTACCCCATAAGGAGGGAGCACAGATAGAATCCTATATCCATATGGCATCTGAGAATAGAATATACATTGCGCATTTATATATTCATTTAATGGTGGAACATTCGTAAATGATATATATCAACAGGACCTTGCAAGCAATAAATAAAAAATAATGATGCAAAGTGCTAGCATAACAAGTGACACGTGACGACACCAGGGCATCTAAAGTGCCCTAAGTGTATGCACGCAATTATTTAAAATAAAATCACATCATGTATTTAGAATTATATAGGTAAAACAGTAAGCATAAAAGCCATAGAAACTGATAAAGCCAACCGATATATACATACGAGAGCAACAAGCACACATAATATAAACCACACCGAGATGCAAAAAGTAAATAAATTATAATTTAATTACTACTAAGAAATACAGTGCCATATATGGTTGACAAACAATGTGCTTTCTAATAAATATCTGAAATCCGACTAACTCAAACAATATCAATAATCTATCTATATATATCTATCTAACTATCTATCTAGCTATCTATCTGTCTATCTATCTATCTATCTAGCTATCTAGCTATCTATATATCTATCTATCTAGCTATCTATCTATCTAGCTATCTATCTATCTATCTATCTATCTATCTATCTATCTATCTATCTATCTATCTATCTATCTAGCTATCTATCTATCTATCTATCTATCTATCTATCTATCTATCTATCTATCTATCTATCTATCTATCTATCTATCTATCTATCTATCTATCTACGTACGTACGTATGTATGTATTATGTATGTAATTTTCTCATTGCATCATTCATA